GTCAACGCAAACATTAGCATAGATAGAATACATCGACCTATATATATCCATTTCTTCAGCCAAAATTTCAATAGAGTAATATCTTCAATGAAGGTGTTATTACCAATCAATAGACAGATGTAATAGCTACGTCAAAAGAAAAAATATATACATATATAATAATAATTGACAGACTAAACGCAATTCCCCTCGTTTTTGCAGCTGCTATCTTCGATAGATTGTTCTGGCATTTCTTTGCTGTTTGTGACTTGTTACTTAGAAACAAAGAAAAAAACAGGAAATATTTATTTTAGATTTACCTCTTATTTGTTTTTGATCACAATTGGTAAAAATAATAAAAATAATCTTGATCATTGTCAATAAATATGATCATTATCAATTTTCTTGTCAATTGTGATTATCATGTAAATAAAAGAAACAAAGATAAAAATTTCCGGGCCTTTTTTTCTCTTATCTAGAAAATAAAATATACAATCTATGATTTTGTTTTTGGCTTTCTTCTTACTTTAATTTAAAAGAATAATATGTTAATATATTCTTACATATACAAATAAATAATATTTCCGTCAAGATCGAACAATTTTTTTTGCGTCGTTTACAAGTTTTTTTTCACATTCTTTTTTTTCCCTTCTTTCTATTCAGACAGAAGCATACTTAGACGCATAAGGAATATTACTTAATGACAAATTTTTTTTTATATTTGCTTGATTGTCCTTGGAAAAGCTGTCGGCTGTCATTGTAATAGACAATTTATAATATCTATCTATCTATCTATATATATATATATATATATATATATATATGAATAAATGAATTCAAGACGACGATTTATTCATTCGAACGTCAAATTAAGTCAACCGGGATAAAACTCATGATTATGAACGAATGATAAAACGAAGAGGGAGAGAAAGAGACACTTATCTAAGAATACTATTGCTTTGAAAAAAGAAAAGAATTAGCTAAAGTGGTATGTCTAATTTTATATCTCTCTGTTGTAAAACTAGTTTTGCTACAATTGTTGTTATTACCAATGTAGATTTCCAACGGATAAAATTGAATTAACACACAACATAATATATAGAAGGCGATGGAAGTTGAAGCATGCGACTCGGTGCAAACTTGATGACGCTATAAGAAAGCACAAATCATTTAAACCGATACCCAAGTATCACATTTGCATTTGATCACCGCCATCGTCTGTCGAAAAGCAAACGTCTTGGTTGATCATGAACGAGAATAAGAAGAAAAAAAGAGAAAGACAGATGACGATGATGATGATGATGATGACGGCAACAACAAAGATGTTGATGAAGCGAATGGTGACAATGTCTTTCACTCAAGAATGGATGGGCCCAGCAAGATCTAACACGTACTATCAAAACTATTAAAGAAACAATTTTTATTTCCGGAGTGAAGGACAAGTGCAATACACGTGCTCTTATAATCGAGATTACATTATGGCAAGTATTTCTACGATTTTTTTACTACTTTCTTGTCTTTCCACTTACTTGCAATAACAATCTAAAAGACTATCAAATAAGCTTCTTAGATTGCTTCTTATCCTAATTTATGTCTACGTGTCTGATCGTGCGTGAATATTTACTTACTTAATACAAATAAACATTTCTACCGGAAAAAATAAAAATCTGTACAACAATGAAAAGCACAGCAGCATAAATAAAAAGATATGCGCAGATTTCTTTTTTTTTTTTTCATGAAATATGTCACAAAAATGGCTCAGTTTACACGCATCCGATAAAATGTAAAACACGTATTCACGCATAAAAAAAATCTAAATTAGCTGATATATTCTTGTTATTGATTCTTGTTGTTGATTCTACGATTCTTCTTTTTTTCTGCGAGGATTTATATCTCAAATAATTACATAGAATAATCGAGCTATTTAAATATAGATTAAAAAGAGCAACAACAAAAACTATGAGAATATATAAACGGATCATTACATTTTTAAATGAACAAGTCTATTCAGAAAACTTTCTTTCGCTTGAATAGAAATAGTGGCTGTTTTTATTAATGGGAAAAGGAAACAGGAAGAAATTCGGTGTGAAAAAAATGAACGTCAATGCATGTGCGCGGACGCCTTTTTTTCTTCCCCCTTTCTCTCTCTCTCTCACTCTCTCTTTCTCTATTGCATTAGTTAGATGGATATTGTTATTAAAAAAATTCCTTCTATTTCTTTCGTCTTTCTTAAACCTTGAGTTACTATTTTTTCTATCATGAATAGAAGAAAATTGACCTATCATAAATGAAGCAATCAAGGAGATTGACACCTCTTTTTTATATTCTTTTTTTTATTATAAATGAAAAAATTTATTACCTCTCTGTTTCTATGCATTTTAGTTTTATTCATATTATTAATAAGAATAACTTTTTTCTTTTAGTAAATGACGAATGACATGCCAATAGACACAACTCTAAATCAAATTTTAATTAATATATATAAGAAAGAAGCACATACATGTGCATGATAATGATTGTTGTTATCCATCGACACGCACGCATCATTCAGCTTGTCAGTCTTTCAGCTTTTCTACATGGACTTAGTTAATTCTCTCTTCCTCTTTTTTTTCTGTGTTATATTTCTCTATTTGAACTTGTTCTCATGAATAAATAAACAGTAAGCTATCTTCTTTTTTCCATTCTTCTTTTCTGTTGACCATAGTGTTGATCTATTACAAATGTAAAAGATCATTTATAATATCGTTCTGTTTCTTGATTTTCTCATTTTTTATGATACTATCAAAGAGTAAAACAACACTAATACTCTTTTCATTAATTCTTTTGACCAATGGTCAAACAGTAGAATATAAAGAAGATAGCGAAGAAAACATTTTCTATTTTTCTTATCTTTTTCTTTTATCATAACAACAACAGCAACAGTAACAGTATTATAGCGCTTCTTTATCTTAGTTCCAAAGCACGCGCGTTTTCTTTCGTTCATTCGCCCTCAAGTCAATGTGCGTGTCTTCGTTCAATTTTCTAGTCGTACCCAAGCCTAAGTTTTTCTTTTTTTCTGTGTCACATCAGTTCTGTCTCTTTTTTTCTGTACTGTCTTTGTGGGTAATTGGTCCCAGCCCTCCCTGTTTTTTTTACTGCTGTGCACAGAACACACGCTTGATTCTCTCTGTCTCTCTTCCTCTCTGTGTTTCCCTATTCTCCCCTATCTATTCATTCAATAACATTAACTGAAAGAATGCCGTATCCTGCTGTTCGTTGTGTCAAATGCATGATGCTAATAGATGAAGGAACCAGTCTGCTGACTCGATCTCTCTTTTTTCCTTCATGCATGCACATCAGCTTCGACTCATCACTATTTGATTAAATCGGAACAAGCCAAGAGCTTGTTGACGCAACACTTGACATACGTTTATATGAGCACATTTAGGTATAGATAATAAAATCATGAGATCATGAATACTATTCTAGAAAACGTACATCATCTATCTACTTGTCAAATGAATGAGAACTAGCATGGTTGAAAGAACCAATGATCTACACAATAAAAACAACAAGTGATTTTTCATGTAACACGCATATTAACGATCATTACAAATCCATACACATATCATTAAATAAAGATAAATACAAATAATGTTGAATGTCAAAATATGACTCTTGTTGTATTAAAAAAAACAAAAAAAAAATTACTATATGACAGATTTGTAAATAAATTGTTAATTTGATATTGTGGTTTGAAAAACTATGATGCTTACATATTATTAAGTGAGTCAAGTGAGAAAAAAATCATGCTAATAGAAATATGAGAATAACGTTTTTGAATACTTAAAAAAATAAAATAGTGCATAATTAGAAAATTATTCTAGCATACACTAAATAATTTGTTTAAAAATATCATTTTAGTAAAATATGAGACATAAAAGAAATTTTCAGCAAAAAAAAAAGAAACCCAATAACTTCGGAAGAATAATATCATTATGTAAATAATAGTATTTATTGATTTAAAAGTCTACAATTAAGAGCATAAAAGAAAACACAAACGTGATTTTAAATTTGCAAAAAGCAACATTTGTTTTTTCTTCTTACTTTTTTTTATTATTATAAATAATAATTTCATACATCAACATACTACTTTTCATATCTCTTAGTCGTTTCAAATATTCATTGTTCGTCGCCTGCTGTTTCCTTTCTTGTTGTTCTGTTTAGACCCGATCGATGTCATTTGTGTTTCCGTCCGGGAAAGCATACTTGCATGCGTGTGTTGGAGACTTGACAATGCTCTCCTTCTCTCTAACTTTGCTGTTTTAGTGAAAGCGGCTCTCATTTAGTTGTGTCTTTTCATGTCTTTTGCTTTTTTTTTTTGAGAAATGACTATCATTTCCTGTCGTTCTCGTCGAAAAAGCAATAAAAAAATCGAGTCCTATCTAATCATTCTAACATAAATATATAAATATCAAAAATATCTATTCACTTTTTTTTTCTATCTTTTTTGTTATGGTTTCCTTGTTTTATATATATATATGACGACAGCAAGAAAAAAACGAAATTTTTTGAGCAAAGCATAGGGAAGATCCGCTCAGATGATAGTGCGCACACACAAAAAGAAAACAGAAAATCTAACGAAAACCAAAAGGCACACATAAAGTTTATGGAATGAATGAATGCATCAATCATGGAAAATAAATAACACAATACAAACATACACATCATACGTTCAGATGACTAGGTTAATGAAGACGACAACAATAATCATAATAGTAACAACAAAAAAAAAAGATGAAATGTTTATCTGTGTGTGTCTAAAAGTTCAACACACACAAACAAAAGAAAGAAAACGCGAACAACGCACATAAATACGACTGCTCATCGCCAAATAGAGAAAAAAAAACGAACAACAACAAAAAAGAAAAAAAAAGTAAAAAAAAAAAAAAAGAGAGAAGTAATAAACGTGACTTGATACAACAAACACAGAGAAAATGATCTGACATACGGTTAAAGTAAAAAAAAGAAAACAAGAAATATCACATAAGTTGTTGTTGTTGTTGTTGTTGTTGTTGAAGACTAGATAGCACTAATGCATATGCATGCATAAGCATAAAATGTGGATTATCGGCAAACGTTGAAGAATATTTAACAAAATAATTTTGTGCCAATAAAAGATTATATGGATTGGAAAGAAATTTAGCAATCAATTGTTGAGATTCAAGTGCAGCAGCAACAGCCATTTGAGCATTATTAGTATTATTTTTGTTATCTTCCGTCAATGGTGTTGTTGTTGTTGATGATGATGAATATTTTCGTCGTTTTTCACCATTATGACTTTCAGATGATACATAAGAACAAGATGAAGAACAACAAGATGATGGACTTGGTGTTGGTAAACAATCAACATTTATTGTTAATGGACGTTTTTTTGGTGGTAATGTATTCCATCCATTATTATTTGTTGTTAAATTAACTGATGATAATTTACAATCAGTATTATATTCTGTTTTAATTAATTTTAATGTTTGATTACGTTGACCACGTTGTCGATGACGATATAATGTTGATTTAACTGATGAAAATGATGGTAAATGTGTACGTATTTCAGGTGAATGTTCATCAACAGATCGTGCTAATTCTTCATCATATATTCTTGGTATTGTAACTGTATCTTCAGCTGCACGTTTTTTTAAACGTGATAAAAATTCTTGTTGAGGATCAACACGTAATGTACGTCCATGTAAATGATCATCATTACGACGTACAACTCGTTCACCAAATGTACGTACACTTGCACTACATAATTCACTATAGACAAATAGAAGAAAAAAAAAACATCAATAAAAATATTAAAACAATAAAACTTATCTAGAAACTTACTGTGTACATGTCCATGACATTGAACCATCGAGATTATCACGTCGATGTTTATATCTATGACCATCAAGTAATATACATGGTTTACCTTTTTGTGTTGTTTTAAGAACAAATGTTGGTGCTAATGTTGTATTTGAATTTTCATTTTTTAATATTGTTCCTTCAGTTTTAATATTTGAATGATCTGTTTTATTAATTGATGTTTCAAATTCTTGTTTTATTGATAAATCATTAATAATCGGTTTTTGACTCGATGCTAATTCAGCAAGAACATCAAGCCTAAAAAACAAAACAAAATAAAACAATAAATTTAATTATTAAATTTAAAATATTTCTCTTTTTTTCTCTCACTTATTCATTCTAATCTTAATATATATAGTATGTATATGTATATAGTATGTATGTAAAATAAAAGAAAAAAAAACTAAGAATGGTCTTTTCTTTTATGCGGCACGTCTATATATGTTCTTCGAGAACAAAACAATTTATACACCGTATAGTGCATTTATACAATGTATCATCCATGTGCGTTCCGAAAACAACAATAACATAGATATATCTATAGATATATACATATATATGTAAATCTTTAGAGAGATGATATAAAAACAGAATATCAAGGGATTAAAATTGGGTAAAAATACATACTTGCTTAAATAGTTTGGATTTAAATTTTCATTTGTTTGTTCTTCTATCATGATGTTCACCAGGACAAATCTAGAATAAAAGAATCAATGTACAAAATGTGTGTCTGCTATATCATTAAACAGAGTGTCTACTTCCTTTTCTTTCTCTCTCCCCTTCTCCCTCTTTTTTTTTCTCTGTATTCCCATTACTGCGTTACGTATGCTTGGACAAATGCATTCGTTCTTCTCGTATTTTTTTTCCTCTCGTCGTTGTCGTCTGTAACAACAGGGAAAACACGGCGGCAGATGGTCAGCACGCGTTCGCCTCTGTCCATTCATTCAAGAGAGGTGGCACACATGCACGCTCAGTGCACATTGAAAGGACAAAGGGAACAAAAAAAAAAAGAGAGAGACGTTAATTTCAGATACACATATATATATAAAAAAATGATGAGAAACTTGCACAGACGGAAAACGGCAGCACACATTAAATGCCCGGACGTTGACCTTCGTCGTCTATAGGAAAAATGCGACGCGTGTCTCATCTTGACGTGTGTTCTGTGTTGTTCCGAGTGAACCTTCTGCTGACCATAAATTAAAAAATAATTTCACTTATACTCAGACGATGAAAAAAAAGAAGAAGAAGAAGACAATAGGAAACGTGCATTGACTGCTGTTTCTTTCTTCTATATTTTTCGCGCTTTGAACAAAATGATGTATGAGACATTTGTTCACCTGCTAGTGAAATTGAAACAAAATACTTACCGATATTGATGTGATAATTCTTTCTTGTTCTTTTTTTTTTTTTGAACATACAATACCAATAGATCATTTTTAAAAGAAAACAACCTTTATTGACAGATTTCGTTATCAAAATATGAGACAAACTTTCAAGTGAATATATATGTTTCATTCCCACACTTCAATATTAACATATGTTCAAGGAAAAAATCACATGTCAACTAATTAATATGAATATAATCATATCATTGTTGTCGTTTATTTATTATTGCAGTTATTTTGTTAACAACAATATTTTATTTTGATATTTTATAAGGACAATTAAAGAAGAGAAATTAGTCATTTTGACAAGCAAAAAAAAAATAAACATCAAAGGAATAACTAGAAGGCCATTAAGATTAAATAGAATGTATTGAAAAATAAAAATAATTTTTTTCTTAAAGTTTTTTAACAACACTTAAAGCAGGATTTAGTAAATTTTTGACTCCAGGAGTTCTCTTGACGCATACGATGTCTTAATTCATCGGGATCAAGTTGACTGCGTGCAAAATTCAAAAATACTTGTTCTAATGTAGTTTGACTAACTGTATAATTTTCAATTGAATATTTTTGTTTACATGATTCAATAATACGAAAAAGTTGAGCTAATGATATATTAGCTTCATTGATATGAATATGTACAAAACCTTCATAAGCTTCTTTTAATTGACTATTTGGAAATGAATTTTCAATAACTGAATAAAATCCATTGACAAGAGTTTCATTAAATACATTTAATTTAGCCATAAGAGTATAACCTAAATAAATAAATAAAAAGAAAAATCACACTATAAATATTCAACAATACATAGTATTTGATATATAGTGACTCATTTAGTTATTCAACTAGGTTTCTTTTCAATTCTTTTTCCATGACCGTCGACGCTAATAAAAATTCAAATAATGATCTGTGTAAAGAATTTTATTGTTAACAAGAGTTTTCAACGATGAAAAGAGAAGAATACCTGTCTTCTGGCTACCTTGAGGTATGTGATACTACCTAGTTGCAGATTCAATAGTCTTATATCTTCTCGAAAATTAGTACTAACTCAAGCTCTCCGTACATAGTGGTTCATTATATATTAGTCACGAGAGCAGGTGTGTACTATAACTTAGTTAGCATACTCATGAGAGGGTGACCCAAGACAAATACCCGTTGGTAACTTATCTAGGGCCATTTCATGACTTTAGTACCGAGGTCTGAACTCTATACCTATTAGATACATGCCGAATAATGTAACTGCTCATTCATGATGGCTTCGAAGATGAAAATGATTGCAAGTTTTCCAAAACTAGGATTTCTGAAAAACTGAAATTCAAGTTTTTCATCTGCTGGAATTATGTTTGAATAATGCAGAATGGTAAATCAAACAATTTCTACATGATGAAATGTCTCCCAACTATCTACGATGTTTTCCAATCAAGATACATCAATCTTACAGAAAACACAAAAATGATGTTTCCATACAAAATAGCAGAAAAACGATTGTAGTGCCTTGTGTAAAGTTGACATATTCCAATCAAAAAAACGTCATACAGACTTGGGAGATGCTTCATTTTGTAGATAATTATTTGCTGTAGCATTATGGGTAATGCAAATATGATATCCAGTAGATGAAAAACTTGAATTTTGGTTTTTCAGAGATCTGACTTTCGAAAAACTAGCGATTATTTTCATCTTCACAAATTCTTGTTAGAAATGCAATTCTTTATAAAAATAACTATTTAGATGCTCATCACTGCTGACAATTGTCAAAAAAAAACAGAAAACATTTGAAAATCAACCTAGTCGAATAATTTTGAGTGCTACTCTATCTTTTATTTTTTCTATACCTGCTCCAAATTTTGATTTTAAATGTTGAATACTTCCAAGACATTTAAATTTTCCATTAACCATAATTGCTAAACGTGTACATAATGCTTCACATTCTTCCATTGAATGACTTGTTAATATAATTGGTTTACCATGATCACGAAATTGTGCAATAGCATTCCAAAAATGTCTTCGTGCTTTTGGATCCATACCAGTTGTTGGTTCATCAAGAAATACAATTGATGGATCACCAATAAGTGCAACTGCAGCTGATAATTTACGTTTATTTCCTCCACTATAAGCATAAACTGGTTTATGAGCATGTTTTTTTAAATTCATTAATTCAATTAATAATGAAACTATTTGAGGAATCAAATATTCTTTTACACCACGTAAACGAGCAAACATATAAAGTGTTTCTTCACCAGTTAATAAGTCAATTAAAGCATCAAATTGTGGACAATAACCCATTCGACGTTGTGCTTTTCTTAATCCTCCACTTAAATCTATGGAATCAAGTATTATTGAACCGTGATCAACTGTTTCATCACCAGTTATCATTTTAAATGTTGTTGTTTTACCACTAAAATTTTTATGAAAATTATTCTTTTTTTTTTAAAACTTTAATTTTTTTAATGTTTAATTCATGAGAAAGAAAAGAAAAACTCAGCTTTCACATATCGATTAATAATGAGTATATTCGATTTCAATAGAAACACTTAAGGAAACGACATTCTTTCAAATGAAAGTAATTAAGAAATAATATCGCGTATGTTTAGAAGTATGATACTACTTAGAATGAAATGTCTGATCTATATATAGTAGTCATATTATTACTTATACATTGACGACTTTGATCAAAGTCGATTTCTCTAATGATATAAAGCTCAAGATCAAAGTATTTTTTTTCTTACATCGATAGTCCTGTCAGGTTCAATTTGTTCGAATCCGAACTCTATTCTTAATTCTCTCAATGAAATTTTGTAATAAAAATCAGACAGTTGCTTCGAAGATATAATATGCATTTCTTCGATTATTTCTATTTAGTGATTAGCACATCCTACACATTCTCTAGACAATATTGATATGATCTTATTAGAATCAACCTATCATTGGCTTTTACTCTTAGCCTACAGTCAATCGAATTGAATATTTTCTTTTCGGTCGGAACTTAAATCGATTTACATTATTCACTACCTAACCGATCACTTAGGACTTAAACTTGTAAAGCAAATATATAATTGTTCACAGAAGTGTTAAAGAAAAGAAGAAAAAAAAAGACCATTTATGACACATTGTCAAATCAAATTGACATATGTTTATAAGGCAATGTACATACTATAAGAGTTAAAAAGCTTTTCTTCTTTAATTAGACTTACGCTCCATTGACACCTAACAATCCAAAACATTCTCTTTGTTTTACTCCCAATGATAATTGATCAACAGCACGAAATGTTCCATTATAAAATTTAGTTACTCGATTTAATACAAGTACATCAGTTTGCATTAATTCATTATAAGATGTTGTTTGAATACGTTCAATTTCATCTTTAACATCATTATCTTCGTGTAAATTTGAAATTTGTGTATCATACGATATTGGAATTACAGATGAAGACATACGATTTGGTGTATTTCCTCTATTATTATTATTGTTTTCAATATTAGCGTAATCTCTTTTATGATGTCGAGATTTTGGATATATAAAATACCACAATTTTGGTAATGTTCGATATGTAATAAGAAGAAGAATTGTAAGTAAAACAAATGATTGAATACCCATAAATGTTAAAAAACGACCAAGACCTGGTTTCTCCCAACTTAAATAATTAGTTGTCCAAGCAACACACTCTGAACCACAGTTTGCTTCAGAAGAAGAAGAAGAAGAAGAAAAAAAAAACCAAGCATTAAAATTCAATAAATTAGCAAAAAAAAACAACAAATCTTACTTTTACAACATGGATTTGGCATCTTATCACATAAATGAACAATTGGTTGACATAGTCCATTTAGAACATAATTTTGATACATAACATTAAGTGCTTGACCAAGACAAAAATTTGGAAATAAAATAAGAAATATCCATTCAAGAATATCAGCTACATTAACTAAATCAAGTTGTGGAATAGAAAGAATAACAACTGCAAGAAGTGTTGCTTGACCTATGATTAAAATTAAAAATTTCATTTTCCAAAAAGAAAACAAAAGAATATATATTTCTTTTTTATTACTTGTTATTATATTAATAATTGTCATCCAAGCAAAACCACTAGCAGGAATTTGAAAAATAAATGAAAGTAAATAAGTCATTGGAATATGTGAAAAACCATATAAAAGAAATAATGATATAGTATATCCCAAACGACTATCATTTAAAAAAGCTGCAAGATCATCTTTAAGTGTAGCTGTATGATAGAAAATAGTCCAAACCAAAAGTATACATATACTACCAAGAATATAAAAAACTAAATCCCAAATAAAAGTACTTAACCAAAAATTAATTCCACTAGCTCCACTTAAAAATTGTAAATGTTTTGCTTTAGAAATTCGTTCTTTAATTAAAAATACAGCAAATGATGCCATCATAAAACCAAAACCAAATACAATACTTGATGCCATACGAAAACCAAAAAATTGTTGTGATTGAAAATCAGTTATAGTTTCTATAAGTGAACGTGGAAACTAAAAACAAATAAATTTTCTTATTTATTGTTTGTTTTTTGAAACACAATCTAACAAGAATCTTGATGTATATAGGAGTCTAAATTTGAATCCCCCATCCTCCCTCACAGACCGTGACTAAAAATTATAATATAAATATTCTACGATTTTAAGCGAATTATCTTATCTTCTAAAGCACTCAGTGACGTATTCAGCTATCGACTGATTGCCTACGGCTTGAAAAGTTACTACCAATGGGCGTCTTCTGATAATGACGACAGTCACCCACAAATCAAATGCTCTCAGCTATGCAAATGAAATCATCCATCAGAGCATAATTCAAGAGATACGATCTAAAAAAGTATTAGCCATCGACTAAATAACTCAAGAGACGACTGTTAAAGAATTTTTTTACATGGGATATAAAATAACTCTGGAAAAGTTTTCTTTAGACCTGAACTTAAAAAAGCTTAAGTCATGAGAATCGGACCGATACTGAAAAAACTTGATTCCGCATATTTGTAATTGTGACAAACGCTAGGCAAAGATAATTACAGATCGTGACAAACATCAAATAGAGACCAATACACAACGTCTATGAATAACATCTCGTGATAGTATAATGAACTACTTCCTTATTATATTTCGGAAGGATTAAGTAAAAGATTAATAAAAAAATGTATTTCAAAATAGATCGAATAAAATAATCTTTCTGTAATTAGCACGAGCATCTATATCGTGTTTTACATTTTACTTCTGTAGACATTATCTTAATAGTTTTTTTTAAAATTTATTTACCGGATGATTAATAACATGAAGTGTTCGATTCATTGTTGATGTTGATGAATATTGTTTTAATAATGAATTTGTTAAATAATTTAAAGTTAATGGTGGTATATGATATGGTTGATTATTGAATAATCCAGTTATATTTAATAATTCATTTGATTCATCTACTTCAACATTTGTTCCAATTAAATATTGATCAGATAATTCAAGTAAACTTCGTTCACCTATACAAGATAAATATGATATAATATTTGTTGATGTTCCATTTTGACATGGTCGTGTATTATTTTTTGTTAAATCTATTAATGTTACTTTTTTAGTTGATTCTTCAAGAGCACGTTCATATGAACGAATAAAATCAATTGCTAATGTTTGATTTTGATCATATGTATAAGGTACATGCGTTTTTTGATATCGATCTAATGACATCAATAATGATGGACTATCTTCTGGTTTAGGTATTTGTTGTTCTATTATTAATGATATAACAACAAATAGAACAGGTAAAACAGCAGCAAATAAAACAAGATAATTTCTCATTGAATTAAGAATACGTTTAAGTAATAAAGCATAAAATTGTTGAATTAATAAAATAATGCCAGTATTTTTGATTATTTCAACATCGAAAACACCTAGAAAATATGATATAGAAATTTAATAATAGAATTATAAATTAAACTAATTTAATTATCAGAAGAAGGAAAAGAGAAATGATTGATTTTGTGTTTTTTTTTCAAGCAAAATACCGAAAGCTCTTTTCTTTTTTTTACTTAATTTCCTATTTGAAGAATTAATTTTCGTTATTGCTATACTTTGAGGTATATCATCATGTGGTGAACATAATTGTTCAGATTCAATTTCTCCATCATGATTCTCAAAAGCATTATTGTTTAAATTATAATTAGTTGTTGTTTTAATTTCATCTGGTTCGTCTTCTTCAACACTAAATAAAATATTTTATATATTAAAATTCATAAATACGAATGAGGTTTGTTTTTTTCTTCATACATTTTCATAAAAACTTCTTCAATTGATGTTTCTGATAATCCAATACTAAAAATTTCTAACTGATCTTTATGTTGTTCTAAATCTTCAAATAAAGCAGGAAATTTAGCTGATGAACGATGTGGTAATAATATTTTGCATTCAGCACTTATTGCTGATTCTAATCTAGCTTCTTCAATATATTTCTGTACTACTTGAAAGATTTGATTTGCATCAGCATTTGTATTTTTAGATATAATTAAATGATAACCAATACCTGAAAAAAAACATAAAAGCATTTATTCAAATTATTTATGTCATCAATCAAACAACAAATGTAATGAAGAACGATCTTCAACTGACAAAATACTGATCGAACTGACTTTTTTTTCGTTAATAAATAGCTCACTGTCATTAGTAAAAGACTGATGGAGACATCTCTAATGATTGAAAACCGATATAAAGTTGTGTTCCTATATACATCGAATGGTTCTTAGTAAACTCTACAAGTTTTGGCTATAGTTTTATAGAAAACTAGTTTTCCAGAACAATACAAATTTTACAAAAATTTGTTTTAATCTATTCAAACAATAGAGCATATTAAGTTGTCAATAATCTTTTCTATTTTTCTAAGATGAATTTTAAGTAAAATAACATTATCTTGACGATTTTTAAATTCAATTGTTAGTATGTATCTGCAATATGAACTACACTAGATATATGTTCTGTAAAGAAAAATGATTTGAAACAGAAAAACATAACGTTTTCTAGACAATCCAATATGTTCTATAATCAATGGTCATATTTAGAGTTAACATTGTCACTCACATACAACCAACTAACTTTCAGCGAGAAAGTGATTGATCAGTTGAAAAATGTTTTCTCGTAAAATAAATCCTTTCGTCACGAGATAATGTACGTTTATCGTTCATAAGTAGGTTAGTCAAATCTAGTTATTTTTAGAAATTCAATATTTATCTCATGAAGGTCGAAAAACTATTGAACATATAGAAAAGCAAAAAGTTTTAGGATTGAACTTCAATGATTTAATGTTTTCTTCAATATTTTTGCTTATATGCTAAGAACTCACCGAAGTAGCTATATTTTTGCAAATGAGATCCAAGAATCCTTATTGTTTTAGATTTTAACTAGTCTAACTGAGGCTTACTTCTGTGACAAATATACAATGCAATTCGTGTTTATCAGTTGAGAACCTTCCTACTGAATTATGTATATTGAATCATAAAATTTCTTTTCGTTCATATCGAGTAGAGTCTATTGAGTCCAAAACAGTTTCGAATTTGATTTCAAAATCGACTGAACGAATGTAAATGTTGAAATGCATAAATAGAAACGTGAATGTAATCGTTTATATCTTGATTCTCGCTGAGAATTTTGAAGATTTTACTCGTTCATATTTCTCATCAAGCTAGTTTTTCTTTAGAAAATCTTTAGAAGATTTCTAAAAATTAGGAAAAAAGCAAATGCATTCTCTGATTAACAATCTGAGCACATATATATATTATACCGTATGTTGTTTTTAAGAAAAATGGTGAACCAAAACAACGAATACGACCTTCACCCATAATTGCAATCTAAATATAAATTGATGAAATCATATATGTCAATAGGATTACAAAAACAAAATTCTACATACTCGATCACCTAAAACATCAGCTTCATCCATAAAATGAGTAGTAAATAGAATTGTTCGATCCAAACGAAAACGTTGAAGCATTTCCCAAGTTGACCGACGAGCTGCTGGATCCATTCCTATTATTAATAAAAGAAAAAACAAACTTTTCGAAAAAAAAAACATAGAAATTCAATTAGGATTCTTACCACTAGTTGGTTCATCCAAAATAACAACTTTCGAATTTGCAATTAATGCAATGCCAACACTTAATTTACGTTTCATTCCTAAAAATAACAGAACCGCTCAGCTTTTATTCGATACGAAAAAAAAAACAGAAAATCATTTTGCGACGAATGTCTTACCACCAGATAATGAACTTGATACTACATCCAATTTATCACTTAACATTAAATCATTAACCATTCTTGTTATTTCATTATCAATATCATTTGGTGGATGTCCTTTAAGCTAAATTAATAAAAAGAAAAAACAAAAAAAGAATTTCCACTCACAGATTTTATTTCATATCTACTTACGACGGAAAATAATCTAAGATGTTCTCGTACAGTAAGATAATCAAAAAGAATATTATATTGTGGACATAAACCAAGAATATCTCGTACACTATCAATCGATGTTGATATATCAAAACCATTAACAATTATTTGACCACTTGTCGGTGGTATTAAACCTTTAAATAATATAATTAATTAAATTTCTACTTTTCTTTATTTTTTATGCAAACAAAATCAATTTACCAGTAATCATAGAAATCGTTGTACTCTTTCCTAGAAAAAAAAAATTAAATAATTGTTCTTTTACAAGTTTATCAGATAAAATCGATTGAATATTTACCAGCTCCATTATGTCCAAGTAATGCTGTTAATTGACCACTATAAATATTCATACTAAGATTACTTACAGCATGAACAGATGGACGACTTTTGAAAAGAAATGAATAAGTCTACAAACGAAGAAAACACAATGAATTAATCAAAAATATTTTTTGTTGTTGTTAAATTTTTAACCTTAGAAACATTGATAAGTCGAACACCTAATTCTTTATCATTAGGTTCATGTTCAAATGCAGCGGAACTTGTTGAATCTCTTCTATTTGTTCCATTGATTGCTTCATTAGTTTGATCAACTCTTGCTTTGGCAGAACCTCGCCAATAGCTCAATTTAAATGGATAAAGAATACCTCTAGAATTAATCTATGGTTTATACATTATTTCATTGTGTTTTATTTATACTTTGGAATTCCATATTGTCCAGGCCAAATATTTTCAATATATAAAGCAAGAAGTAGATAGATAACAGCATCAACATATAGCATTATAACTATATCAGCCATAGTAACATTATCATCCACAGATACAGCTTCATTAAACATTGACCACTGTAGACCAGTACCTAAATGTATAATAAAATTTTTCTAAAAAAATTCATTCTATTGGAAATACCTTTTCCTTCAAACATGCCAATAAGTTGAGCACCCAGTGCTAAACCAATATTATGTAACATACATGTAGCTAATTTAGCTCCTCTTGTCATTGTTTCATAACGTGGTTGAATAAATGCATATGGTAAATAGGAAAGAAACCACAAACCACCAGCACCAGCAGCTGCACTATTTGCTGGAAGAAAAAAATACATTAGAATACTATTTCATTTAAACAAATACGTTATTGGAGTCTGTTTGAAGCTGAAATATGAAATTCACATATGTTCTTTAATCTCATTATACTAATACAAAATAGGTAAAGTGAAAAGTCTCTCGCAGATTACAATTGTTTTGCACGATAATCAAGCCGCAATGACTAAGTGACTACACGTATTCAACAAATATGCACAAGTTACTAACGGCTATTGGTCTCGGATCACTCGTCTGATAGCATGTTGCCTATGTTGTAGTATACACCTACTCTTACGGCTTGTATATGGCTAGTTAATGTGTATGGAGATTTCAAGCTATGAAACGCAAGAACACTGCGTCAAGTCAGCCTTCTGTTCACAGCTACAGCTAATCATATTTCAAGGAAAGATACCGAGCTATTAAATCTGACATTAGGCAACACACCCTACCAAACATAGTTGAAAGGCAGCGGATTATTCTTTTTTCGAGATTATTGGTTGCCAAAAAAGTTGGCCTTGTTGCTATTTACTCGTTATTTTTCTTTTTTGTATACGGTTTTTTCTCAATTTAACATTATTATTATTCTAAACATTGATTTAGCTGGTGAATAAGCATGTTGTACATATCCATTATTTTAATGAGTTCATCAACTCTGATATTGATTATGATAACGTGATCGAATCACGCTTTTTTTATATTCACTATATGATGACTGAGGCAAGTCAACGCATCACTAGAAGAGATGTGAGAAACCAATTCTGATCCCGGTAGTCGGAACGAAGGACAAGAGAAAGCGATTTTCGGAAGCGACACCGAGACCCGAAAAACTATGTACTATTCATCTATTATCATCATCCTTCATCTTTTACAACGTCAATCGAAATTACTATCTGTGCAAAATTTTTAAAAAAACCTGTACTATTTAGAACATTTGCAAATTTATTTCAGATATTCAAATTTCGAGGAAGACTTTAGAATGTTCTAGAATACTCTGAGCCTGGTCGTTAACGCTTTACATCATTTTTTTCCATCGCTAAGAAACTCTGGGAAATGAATCTGACGCCTTTTTTTCTTAGTAGCTGAAATTCGTTAAGAAAGATGCAGAAAGCTGCAAAATTTGAACTTAAAAATTACATCCACTATTTCCTTCGAATATCGACGTGAGTTTCACAAAACAAAAAGTATAATTCAACGTTTCTTTACCTTTATCAAAAAGTGTGCTTATTAAGAACATAAAACATATTGATGTAATTGAATACGTAAATAGAAAGAAGAAAACTAAAGTTATGTCCGATTCTCCAATAACTGAACTTGGATCACCAGTTGTTAATGGAACTTTAACAATATAACAAACAGCTATGAGTATATCAGCTATGGTCAAAAAAACAAGTGATCGAGTAAACCACGATAGCCAATGTATCCATCCGCTAAGACCCATAATAGTCATAGCAATCTAAAATTTTCGCAAAAGGTTATTAATTTTATTTTGAACTTGTTTATTATATATACATATACCAACCTTTAAACCGTTTTCTTTTTCATAAACAATATTTTTAACTGTATTAATAGCCGCAAATATATATGACATAATAAGTAAAAAAGGAAACCAAACTTGAATGACAAGTACAAAATTATCTTCTTTATAAGGTGGAAATGGATAACGTTGAAGTTGAATATTAATTCCCGATGAATCAAATGTTGAATTAAGTTCATTAAGAATTTCCATATCAACAGCTTGTTGTAATGCAAGAAAACCTTTTATAAAAACAAACAAATAAATAAATAATCAAATATAAATCATAATTAGCTATTGACTCACCTTCTTGATAATAACCTAAATTAAAATTCAAAGAAATTGAAATTAAAAAAAATATATTTAAATTTTATTTAACTGACCAGGTGTTCCTCCAGTTTCATTATGAGTATTTCGTGGTCCAATAATCGGAAATAGTGGATACAGTAAATTTGTACGCCAATTATTTTGACCATTAAAAAGAGTTCTAAAATAAAAGTTAAAAAGAAAATCCTAATGAAACAAACAAAATAAAGTATTGTCAAATATACCCTAATCCAGAATTTCTTAATTTCGCTGCAAGACGAATTTTATACGTTATATTTAATTCGAAAGTTAAATTCGTAAATACAACACCACCAAGAAAGTCTGATCGTGGCATTTTGCTATTAACGTCTAGGACAAGTATATTTTCATTATCATAACCTTTTTCTAAACAAAGAAAAATATTTTCGAATAAAATCAATTTATTTAGTTCTAAACAACTTACCAGTTAAATTTAGTCTAGCAGCTACTCTTTTCATAACTTCATTAGTAAAATTTGTTTTTGGTGTATAAGCAATCATTGATATAGTTTGATTAGGAAATGGAGGTAAATGATCAATAGAAAATGGTTCATAAATTTTACCATTTGGATGTTTTTCTGATTTAACAATATGTCTTATACCAAGTAAAAGAAAGCCAAAAAATACTGGTAATGTTATTTCAAGGAATGTTCGTATTGGCATACGTTTTGTTAATATAAGATTTTTCCATAGAAGAAGTGAATAATGACGACCGAAACGTCGAAATCCTTTGTTAGTACTACCGTCGGCCATATCTAGAAACAAAAAAAATAAAAAATGAATAAATTTAAAAAGTAAATTCAAATAAGATAAATAATGAAATCACTCAACGTATTGATGATCTAGATGATGCTTGAGAAGGTGGACCAGAGTTAGTTTTCACAAGCGGACGAAGAGCAAACTCTGTCATTATATTTTATCAAAGATAAAGTCAACAGAAGATGTGTGCATTTGTGTGTGCCTTATTACATAGAACAAGATAAGTAATCAATGAAGAAAAAATAACAAAACAACAGACGCCTGTTGACGTTCTCGCTCAAACTTTAAGGATTTTTGTTAGACTTACTCTTTACAGGTGCTTGCATCTTACTATCGTGTATTTTTGGGCCCATTAGAAAAACAATGTGAGCTGCAATATATTTGATAATTTATGATACAAAAAGGTTCTGTTTAGAGGATAGTTGTATGTATATATATTTGTTCTAGATAAGCGTATTGAATAAAAATTTATTATTGGAGAAAAAAATACGAGTAGTTGAAAAGAATTCAGCTTGTGCCAGAGGTAAATAAGAACATTTATTCTAGTTGTTTTTCTATGTGTCCACATAAAAATATGCTTAGTCATTCTTTCTTTCCTTAGATAAAAAAAATAGTGTTGCTAGATTCTTTTTTCTTTATTGTTTTCCTATGTTCTTTGTATATATACAAAATGACTCACAAATATCGTAGCACAAAAAAAAACAGAAAATGTGAATAAAGTTCAAAAATAATAATGATTAAATTGTTTATTTGATCTATTTTTTTGGTTTAGGTTTCATTTCTTCGAAACATTGTCGAAAATAGATTGCATTTTTTTTTGTTTGTACATTTCCTTCATGACCTTTATGCCAATCATATGAACTTGCATAAGCAAATAATTGTCCACGACTATCAAATGTACAACATGTTATTGGTTGATCATTAATAGGATCACTTGTCTTTAATTTTGTTCGATCATCTTTATCCCAAAAACTATAACGACCATCACTACCAACTGTAGCTAATGTACCATGTATAGGATGAAAAGCAATATCATTAACAGCAAATATATCTTGAGTATTAGTTGGTGGTTGAGGAGTTGAACGATGACATTTAAATGTAAAATTATCTACACTTGGATTAGGTGTGTCAACATACATTATAGCAACGCGACCTTCAATTGATCCAACAGCAAATCCATTTGGATTTTTTGATTTATCTGTAAAGATTGATACACAACGATGTTGATATTTTAATAATGATTCAATTTTTTTATATTCAGTTGGTCCTTGATCAAGTGAATAAACTTGTATAGCACGATCAGCTGTTGTTATAACAGCCATAGGACCAAAAACATCAGCAGCATATATACGTTCACTAAGTGCTAATTGTTTTAATGGTGTTGATTGACGTGTATCCCAAAATTTAACTAAAATACAAGAAGAAAAAAGAAACATGCTATGTATTTATCCGTATAGAAAACAACAAGGTTTGTTTTTTTTTCTCTACCTGTTCGATCCCAACTTCCAGTCATTACACATGTATATGATGGTCTTTGAATATAATGAATTGTTCTAATAGGTTGATCATGTGCTGCTATTTGAACAAATGTATTTGCTTGTAAATCCCACATTTTAGCTGTTTTATCACAACTAGCTGTAAATACTTTTGAACCATCTTCAGACCAACAACAACTTAATATAGGTGCATCATGTTTTTGTATTGCTTTTGGAACTGATTGTCCATTCGATTGTATTTCCCAACAACGTATGTCATTTGCCCATGAACTTGCTATTAAATATGTTTGTGGAACTGATAATGGAGAAAATTTTAAACATGATATAGCATCATCTGGTGGTTGCATGATTTCTAAATCTTTTTGACCTAATACTAATGTATTCGCTGTTGATGTTGTAGTAGATGAAAGACCAAATGGTGTCGTCATAATGACTATGTATTAATCTAGAACTAAAAATTAATTGATTATAAAAGATTTTCTACATATGTAAACAAATCATGAGTTAATTCGTTCTTTTAGACATTGATATGAGAAAAACCAAAGAATTTGATGAAGTTATTCAATATTAAATTTAGTTCACATTATGTTTGTGAAGGCAAGAATGTATTTCTAAAAATAATGATGTTTCTAAAGAGGGAATTTTACTAGATACTTTCTTTCGATTTCAAGGATTCCTTTGCCTATAGATGATGTATAGTATTCTAGTGGAAACTATAAAAGAACTTGAGTTTCTAGTGAAACTTCGCGAAGCTTTTCAACTTTTATTATAGCTGTTCACTAGAGACCCACATCAAACTCGATCATTTTCACAACAGTCGTGCTTTTTTATTTTATCATAAAAATACTTCTCTTTTGTAGTAACTCATATGAAGAATTTTAGAGTTTCAAGCCTTCATATGTCCGAGTTATAAACTTTTCAAAATATTCTTGTCTTATTTATTACGTTATGAAAAGTTTTTTTTTTTTGAAAAGTCCATAGTTTGAACATATGCAGTTTTCAGGTTCTGAAACTCTTCGTATAAGCTACTGCATGTGAAATCTTCCAATAAAGGTACTTTCAAGACAAAATAAAGAAAACATGACTTTTCCAGAAACAATTGAATTCCATAGTAGAGTACTACACGAGTACAACTTTTCGCAGCTGTATCTGGATCTCTACTACCGATTGTCATGGAATGACCAAAACGCATCCGATGATGTTTAGAACACACCGATTCTTTGTCTCACAGCGTATTCTCTGTTCTTTTTCTTTGGCCTATTTTTGATTCTCTCTTTCATGACATATACGGTTTTTTCTTTCACTGCTCTTCTTATCATCTGGATTTTTACTTTCATTTTCATCACACCTGTTGGGTGTAGCAAAAATGATTGAGTAACAATGACTTCACTATTTGCTATCACAATTTTGATAGTAAAATTAACCCTTGTCGTCAAAAAATAATAGAGCTGTCGAACATAAACGTGTTGAGTAGAAGAAATATTTAGTCGCCGACAAAAGTGTAGCCCGTATTAAAATGAACTTTTTATATTATTTTGACATATAAGAATAGAACGCAACACATATATCTACACAGATGTTCGAGATATTTGCACAGGACATAGTAGTTTTATGAGTATTTGCTTTCTCTTTGAGTAAAGTAAAAATATGTGAATACATCCGTTTTTGGATGACTTATTGAGAGATAAGATGAATTGTATGATATGAGATCGAAATTTCTAACTAACAGATTTTTAGTAAACGAATTACAATTCGAAATTTTGCGTTCAGTGTTCTTGGTATTGTTTGCTGACGGAGCACAGGCAAAACTCTTCCCGCTGAATGTTCAAAAGTTATAAACTTGAACTCACTTCACACGATTTATCTCATCTCTCAACAAGTCATTCAAAAGTGGATGTATTCACATATTTCTTTAGTTTGCTCAAAAAGAAGTAAACAGCTGTAAAACTACTATGTGTTGTGTATACGTCTTACACTCCTCTATATACATACGTATCGTATTCTATTCTCATATATCGAAATAATATAAAAAGAATTCATTTCAACAGGGGCGTAACATTTGTTGTCGATTAATTAAGTAATTAAAAAAGGCTATGAATCTCCAAGACAGAAGACATTAAAGGTGATTGGTTCGCGCAAGATGTCTCGAGCTTATTGACACTGCTACAAAATGATGTTGCATTTTCTACTAGTACATGTAGTACTAAGCGGAAAACCAGGACTAAAACGATTGGTCCCGCTCATCACTACTATAAATTCTATTTCCTGTTACACTTTTTAACTACACACTGTGATTTATAAATGTGTATACTTATGAATTCTGTTATCCTATGTTTCAGGCTTTCGATCAAAGATAAAGGCTAAAGAAATAAAATTAAACTACACGTACTATTCACTACTTAAATTTCAAACAAAATCATCTTTAAAATCTATGAAACTTACTTAATGAGATAAAATACGATTGATATTTATTCAGTATTGCTTATATAATTCTAATCATCCAACTTGATGATGAAGAAAATTTTCCATATCAAATTAATATCTCATTTGAACTATCTATGAATTGAATATATATCGATCAACTCTTAGAAAAAGTTCATCGTTTAATTTTCGTCTGCTATATACCAAATCATTACTTAAGACTTTGAGAATTTTTTTTTTTGTGTTGTTGCGTAGATTTGTCGAAAGACGATCTTTAATTAAAACAAAAACGCAGTGTATTCGACATTTTAATATAAGTTTACAAATCAATATAAGAAAAAAAATGCAATGTTTGCTTTTGTTTAAACAAAAATAGATGTTGAGAAAGGAACAAAAAACAAGACAAAGACAAAACAATCTTATACAATGAAAAAGACGGGATAATCTACCTAATTAATTATGATTTTTTCTTTTTTTTATACATTGCAAATCTATATGGCCAATATTAGTGTTTTTTTCGTTTTTTATGAACACAAATAGAAAAAAATACACAAAGGCAAACGAGATGATAACCAAGAAAGCAAAGAAGAAAAGTTTTCTATATACAAAAAAAAGAAAAACATACACTGTGGAATTATTAAGCGAGAAACTTTTTATTTTCATAGATGTCGATGTTTGATTTTGGGTTATTTTACTTTTCTATACACAACTCGATGGATTGGTTGGATTTTTTACTTCACATAATTGTGAAATACTTATGTCACATTGAGATACACCAGCACCAGCTCGACATATATTGATACTTGCTACAGATGTCCATCTAAATAAAAGAAAAAAACAACATATTGAAAAATAGTTAAGAAAACAAAATATATTAATGAACTCACTGTTGAGTTTCAGCATCATAAGCTTCGACTGTTTTTAAATACGTCGAACCATCATGTCCACCAACAGAATAGATACGACCACCTTATGTAATAAAAACACTATAAATAAAATTAATAATGAAGAAATCTTTTTACCTAAAGTAGCTGAACCAACACCACCACGACATGATGTCATATTTGGTACCATTGT